TAAAATCAGTGTTGGTATATTAGGCTTAATAAGTATTAATAATCAATAATAACCAGTGAATAAAAAGTTTCAAATTGTGCACGAATACATGAAATAAATAAAATATACAATTTCAGATATAAATACCAATAATACAAAAATGTATATAAATCTCAAACTTATCAAAGTGATATGTAGCAAAGTGAATGCAAATAATCGTTAATAAGATGTGAGTCCAAAAATAGATGATTTGTGAATCCAAAAACTATAGAAATATATAAATAAATAATTAGTTGATTGAAAGTGAGTCAAAAATAGATGATTTGTGAATCCAAAATACTTGAATCATCTATTTTTGACTCACTTTCAATCAACCACATTGTGTGGAGGGTCACACAATGAATGAAATTTGACCAGTGTATAGCCAGCTTTACTCTAAGCTCCTGGCACGGAGTCTGTTCAAGATTTATGTCACTAACCAGAGGTTGCTCCTGATAAAGAACCAATCAAACATGAAACTTGATATATACCAGATCCACTCACCGTGACGTCATGCTGTGCCAAGCCATGTGTCCAGAAAAAAAAGAGAAGCAAGAGAGAGTTAGAGAAACAAGAGTTAGTGAACATGGAGAAAGGTTACCAATAACAAGAGAGACATGCAGAGAAAAAGAGGCAGACAGCGCAACTCTACTGTCAAGGGATGAGAGGATTGTGTCTGAGCTTAGAAACAATGGTCAGACTGGTCTGTATGTACACCACTCTTAAAAGCTGAACTCCAGGCAAGCAGCGAAATACACAGATGAAATGCATGCATGGAAACTGTCTCATTTGCCAAAATATTTTTCATTTTGTTCACCCAGCCTTTGGATCTAGACACCTATGTCAGGCACTATACCTTAAAGACCTTCATTTTATCCTCTGCAGTTAAGCATTACAGCTTGGTCAACAACCTACCCACAATGAGGAACGGTAGCACAATGATGAGGTAAGCATGTTCAGGAAAGAAGATTGAGAGCACAGTGCAATGTAACAGAGCCTGGAATGGCTCAATTTCACCCTCCTGCTGTGTAAGTGATCAGATGAGGTTAATATCGGCACTTGTTAGGGTGTTTATATTAGTTTTAAATGAAAAGAAAAACAATAAAAATATATATATATACATACATACATACATACATACATACACACACTATTATATATATATACATACATACATACATACACACATATCTATCTATCTATCCATCCATCCATCCATCTAGATACACACACACATTTTTTTAAGGAAATTAATGCAGAATTCCGAGTAAAGGGTTGCAAGGGTTAAGTGCTCGTTTTTGTTTTGAGTCACAAATAAAAAATGATCTACTCACCCTATCCTTCGAGCCAGCTTGCTCTTAGACCAGTCCCTGTAGACTCTCCCCCCCTCCGTTTCAGCGTTCTAGGGTCACTGAGTCATCACGTTCGATGCACAGTGTATAGGATGTGAGGACACTGAGGGACATACTTTTTGCTGCAGCCGAGGAGGAGACAGGCAGAAGAGAGCACTCAAGCAGCCAGCCACCTTGGAGGATCGGGTGAGTATACCTTTTTTAATTTTTGACCCTAGGGAAAAACAAGCACTTAACCCTTGCAATGCAGGGGTAGCCCCACTGCAAGGGTTAAGATCATTTTTACCTGGAGTTGTTCTTAAATTCATTAATAAGTGACAATATATTCACCTACACTGTAGAACAGACATCTCCCAATGCCGGCTACTTCCGCCTTTAGGTGAAGTACCCAAGGGACACGCTGTTATGCAAATAACATTGCAAGCTTTTGGGCCCGGAATCAACCCCTCTCACCTACCATACCTCATTATTGATTAGACAGGTAAGGTAACCCATACCAGCAATAGGCCAATAGTGAGGTATGTAAGGGGGTGGGAGAGCCCACAACAACAGGAGCTGGTCTTTATTTGCACAACAGAGTGCTCCAGGTTGTGGAAATCCCAGGACTCTAAAAATCAGGGCTGGTTTTAAGATTCCCAGAACCAGAGTACAGGCGCCAGGAGGTGCCTGTTATACAAAGGGGATTTCAGAACTATATTAAAACAGGGCAGGAAAACTTCTAGGCCTCCACATGAAATTGCCACTGGCTCAACTCCTCTATAGTTTCTTGCACGCACGCACGCACGCACACTATATATACTATACAGACAATCCACAACATCAGATGCTAGCAGGAGCTGATGGAATAAGCATAGTAGAAAGCAAGAACACCATTTCTTGGCCAATCACCAAGCTCAAGAACTGTCATGTGGGGTCAGAAATGGCCCTGAATAAGCTCTGACACCAGCCTGGATCTCGCACAGGGCTTCTCAGTAAGGGTTATTGGCAGGCAAAAGCAGGACCCCAAGGCAGGTAAGTATCAGGGCTATCAGGAGAATCAGTTACTATGCACTTTAGCAGCATAAAGCTTTCTATGACCCCTCTGCCATTTCTGCAAAATTGTCATAACAAATGCAGACTCCAGATCAGGCTTACCCTACCAGTCTACACTGTGGCATGGAAATATTTTTGTAAGGAAAGGCTTAGGAAGAAAAAAATTAATAAGCACAGGTTACCGATAGTGAAAATGTTTGGTTCATCCGGAGTTAGAGGCAGTTAAAGTTATAAACAAAGAGCAAATTTCCCCATAAAAGTTAAACCCGACCCCTACCTCTTCCACCCTAAAGCCTCCTTATCAATCAGTGAGGCTGCCCGGCTTGTTGCAGAGCTTGTTTCTCCTGCCAGCTTGTTGCAGAGATGGACCCTTGTTCTCTGTGTGGAAGAAGTGGTCTCCCTGCAGTGGTCTGACATACTCCCTGCTGAGGCAGACCTTGAGCTCTCCAGTCAGCAAATCTCATGCTCCCTGCTAAGTGAAGAGCTCTAGGTCTTTCAGCTTTGCATCCTCCTGCCTGTTCAGTGGGTAGTAAACAGCAGTGTGATGATGTCACGGCCAAATTATGGTGTCGCCCTCCTCTGATCAGTTCTCCACAAGAATAACAAAGAATTATTAGGGGAACTGAAGAGAAAGTATTGCGGGGCCAACATTGCCATGTGAATATCTGAAAATAAAAAACAGTGGATAACCCAACTATGCTGATAAACAGTTAAAAATCTAATGAATGTCAATCCTTTATGATATGCAGATTAAGCAGATTAAGCAGTGTTTCTATTAGACTTGTTGGCCATTATCAACTGTTTAAAAAATCGTCAAAAAGACAAACACTCAATGTCCATATACAAGCGGGAAAGCATCTGTATCTCTGTCTATCTTTCCATCTCGTCACTAGCTCCCTGTCCCCATCTCTCTACAAGCGGGAAAGCCTGCTCACCAGCTGATCAGCAGAAGAATGCAACCTGCTTCACAGGATTAAATGTAAAATGGAGATAGTACAATGGAAAAAGGTTGCTATCAATCATTCACCATCTCCCATCATCTCTCTCTATCTCTGCCTCACTCTGCCCCCCGCTCTATTGCTCTGTCTCTATTGCTCCACCTCCATTGATTGCTCTGGACCCCCGGGTAAATCCCTACACCTCCATTTTTACATGACAGACCAGTATATAAATGTCCCGCAGTCTAGGTGTTCAAATCATCCCACAGCCTTTGCTGAACTAAAGTAAACTGAAAAGAATTGCGGATGCTATGGATTATGGCTGATGAGGGATGCTACTACTGGCTGAGAAAGTACTGACCACTGAATTGAGATGTTTTACACTTTGTAAACTGATCCAACTGTTCTGTCCGCAGATTAAATGCTATGTGGTGATTACAAAAATGGTGGGACACATAAATACATTAGAGATGGCAATAATCCAATTGTCATAGTAAAGCATGACAGTTAGGTTCGGTAAACACGCATAGAATTTCAGCTGGTTCTTGATTAACCGACCAAAATTCGATGCATGGGTGCCACTGTCAGAACCTTTCCGACCGACATCCCTTAATTGGCTGATCGAAGGAGCATGTTGGAAAATTGTCAGCCGAAAAGAGCTACCAGCCAATTGGCTCCCAGCTCTTTTTGGGTATTCTGACTGCGGGTGGTGGCCACTGTCAGAATACAAAGGAAAACAGAAGGCGATTCCTCGATCAACGCTCGTAAGCGTTGATGGAGGAATCTGTTCTATTCATATAGCCGGCAGGTTGAACAAAGAAAATAGAAGCGTGTATACCCGACTTTAAACTGTTAGTGCTCTCGCTATGCAGCACTGGGGTTCCATGTTTGCTTCTTGGTTTGCCAAGGACACAATCTACCTGGAGTTTGTATGGGCTTCCGCTCACAATCCAAAAACAAACCAGTAGATTTGTCAAAAAGAGGCCTTACTATATTGCATGACTGTGGTGAGGACATTAAAGTGTAAGCTTCCTGGTGGGCAGGCACTGATGTGATTGGTTCAGAGTTCTTTGTGTTCAGAGTTTTGTCAGCGCTATAAAAACACATTTTAGTAGGACATATCTTTGTGGAGGGGCTAATTTACACCCCAAACTCAGATACAGCTGTAAAACTGAAAGAAGTGTAATATCAAACCCCAATCATCCCCAAACTACTCTACACAAAGAGCGGGTACACATCGCCCTCTGGTGGAGAACTGAATGATGAAAACACATGGCCTGATTAGTCAATGAGACAAGATGGAGGGGATTTCTGGTTCAGCCAATCAAATTTCAGCTGTCATTTTTTAGATGCAAGTCAGAAGATGGATGCAACACCTGACGGTTATGTGGAATATTATTACTTTGCTGCCGTGTTTTATAAAATGTAAAATTTGTTGAAAACACACAGATAAAGTTTTTGGGTTTTTTTATCACATATTTTTTACTAGTTTAGCATGGGGCAAAAAGATTATATCCAAAGTGCAGTTACCAATCAGCTGGATCATCAGGAATAAAACAGAAGATGAGAGCCGATTTGCCACCATGAGTTACCGCACACTTTAAAGCCAGAACAATGGATAGAGGAGTCCATATATAGTACACACCAGCATGCCTCATACCTCTCCAGCTCTGCAATCTTTGTGTCCTTCTCGTTCTTTTCATTTTCCATCTCCTTCAGGATCTCCAGCAGCCGATCCACCTCAGCCTGCGACTTACTGGCTTCCTCCCGATACCTTGCCACCTCCTTCTCCATCTCTTGCACCCGCTCGTTCACCTCTGGGTTGGATTTGACCTCCTGTGTCGCGTCCTGAGCCTGGTGGGAAAATGATGTAGTTTGTAAGAAATATATATAAGGCTAATAATTGTAGTCCAGTGTACAGATGTCCAGACAAAACATCTTCTCAGTTTTGGATAGAGTGTTATAGTGAAAGATAGAAAGATTAGAACCCCTGTCAGGTTTTCACTGCTATCTGATGCTCCCTTAGAGAGCTATACCCTCACTTTCTGTCTTGATCACATTTTAGCAGACAGGAAGTGAAGCAAAATGTCTTTAACGGAGTCCTGCATAGCAGTAAAAACCCAACAGAATTTGTAATCCTTCCCAACTTTATCCAAATCTAACAAAAAAAAAAAATTCTGCCTAGACATACACTTTAATAAAAAAAGAACCCCAGTCTCCAAACTGTGGTTTGCAACAGCTGTTTAATTTCCGTATGTATCCCAATATGCTTTGGTCTGTTTCTGATTCTGGGAGGAGCTGATAATATGCTAATTATTTGGGCACCTAAACCAAACACCCAGAAAAAATTATGTCCCCACACTGTGAGCCATGCTGAGCCTGTGACAGTTATAACATGCAAGGAAGCAGAAGTATCCGCACACAGCTCTTCATTATAGTTCATTTAAACATGTGTATGAATGATAGAGATACGCAGTGTCCATTAACAGCTGTGCGTCTCCCAGAAAGACTAGTGTTGACCCTGGGAGTGTATTACCTTCCCATTTTATATGCAAACAGTGCTTAGTGGAGTTCTTCTTTAATAAGACAATGGAATGATACACACAGACTAAGGGGAGGATAAAATGACTGTAGGGAGCATGTGTGGGATAAGAAAAGGATGAGATTACTGACCTCACACAGTCTTTACACTAGATCTTTATTGAATTTATATAAATGTTTATTTTTTTTAAATATTCCACACTGCGCTCCTTACTCTCCTCTCCTGAAATACTCTGCACTACTGGAGGACTCTGCTCCTTCCTCTATCTAACTCTCCTCTCCTGATATACTCTGCACTGCTGGGGAACTCTGCTCCTTCCTCTATCTAACTCTCCTCTCCTGATATACTCTGCACTGCTGGGGAACTCTGCTCCTTCCTCTATCTAACTCTCCTCTCCTGATATACTCTGCACTGCTGGGGAACTCTGCTCCTTCCTCTATCTAACTCTCCTCTCCTGATATACTCTGCACTGCTGGAGAACTCTGCTCCTTCCTTTATCTAACTCTCCTCTCCTGAAATACTCTGCACTGCTGGAGAACTCTGCTCCTTCCTCTATCTAACTCTCCTCTCCTGAAATACTCTGCTCTGCTGGAGGACTCTGCTCCTTCCTCTATCTAACTCTTCTCTCCTGAAATACTCTGCATTGCTGGAGGACTCTGCCCTTTCCTTTATCTAACTCTCTTCTCCTGAAATACTCTGCACTGCTGGATGACTCTGTTTCTTCCACGGATGCTTACTGCACAGGCTTACATAATAAAGTGGTGCAAAGAACAACAATTGCAATCACCTTACTGTATTATTAAGAAAGAAGCTAAGCCAATATGTGTAATGAACAAGCTACTCTGTGTTTGTAACTATGAACCAAGAGAGGGAAAAAAAAAATATATCAAGAAACACAGATAGCATTATTTACATCATGAAGTGAAAGCCAGGTTGACAAAGTAAATATGGCTGCACCTCAATGAGGCATTTTTATAGAAAGCCTGAAAATTCTGCTTTCCCCTTAAAGGCCGGTGGCTGCAGGCAGCTGGCAAAGTCCGATGAGCAGCTGATGGTGCCCCTCCCCTCCTGGCACCCTTTTCTGGCTACCGCTGTGGACAATAATTAGCAAATGTTTATTTACATGGGGAGCTGCTGCCATTTCACCTGGTGTGCTCCCACTGCCCGTAACACACTGGAGCTCTGTCACTGGCTGCCAGGACCAGGTCACATCAACAGGACAAGATGGGGAGGCCAAAAAGCACATTGGACTAATGAAAGGACAGCGCAGGTCACCAGACCCAACCAGGAGGGTGGAAGTTGAAAAAGTAGCACAACATTCACAAATGTACAGACACAAACCCAGCTGGGGCAACCAGCGGTGAAGGAACTACAAGTCCCAGCATCTATTGCTGGTACCGATAGAATTTGCCGGGCCAGGAGATATGAAAAGAGCTAACAAGCTTAACATTAGGGATGCACCGATACCGATACTAGTATCGGTATCAGTGCCGAGTATTTGGGCGAGTACTCGTACTCACCCAAATGCTCCGATGACTAGCTCGATAATTTCGGTATCCGGAAGCCAGGCAGCAGGTCATTACATGCTGCCCGGCTTCCCGATTGGCCATGAAGCCGGCTCCATGCTCCCTCGTCAAGAGGTGACGAGGGAGCATGGAGCCGGCTTCGTGGCCAGTCAGAAAGCCAGGCGCCGCGTCATCACATGGCGCCTGGCTT